TTTTGTAACACCAAAAACCAGACAGGCTAGATCGTTGGCCGCTAAAATAGTCCAAGGTGGCTTCGCCTCTGTTGTGAAGATTGCTTGGGCAGCCGGCACCCATCTGTTCGTATGTCCGTGTACCGCAGGGCCTGTAGCAGCAGAGAAACTCTTTAATTGTGCGGCAGGCTGCGTCGTCGATCCCGGAGAAGCCAGCGGCTCTTCATACAGAGGCTCACCAGTAAGAAAAGGCTGTGACATTGTATCCATCAGTTTATCTTGCAAGGCCATACTCAGAGTGTCAGTCATGGTCCGCTTCAAGTTGGTAGGCCTCGAGGTGGGCGGTAGCGCCTTTGAAGCGTCTCCGACACCGCCAGCAGGAGCTCTACTTGAGTCTTTCAGTTTCAAGCCGGCATCATCAGTCGCATCAGCATGGTTGGCAGATATCAGTTCTTTATCGCGAACAGGCACTTCCTTTGAAGCTGTATATGTGACATCGGGTGGCACCAAATCCACGATAGACGCTCTCGGGCTAAACTGCTTCTCAAACACATTCTCAGCAGGTAGGCCAGCCGGGCCGGTCAATGGCGGAACAACGACGGCTGCAGGGTCGGGATTTGGCAAGTTTCCTGCGCCTATCACTTGCGCGCGTGCAAGAAACTCCAGCATGTGCTGCGCGTCGACATCGCCTGTAACCCTAGCCTGGGCGCTGGCAAGGCCGGCTTGGGTCGAAGTCATGGACAGGCCCATGCGGTCCTTCATGAACTCGAGGGAACGTTTCAGGACATTTTGGCGATTGTGCAGAAAATCCTCCGATTGATGTGCGAAGGAGAAGGAGTGCAGAGACTCAGAAGGAAACCGCGACAGGTCTTCGGAGAAGCTGGGAGATGTGGGCGCTCCAGCGAAAGGCGTCGTAGTGTAGCTGCTCAGCATTGCAGTCATGGAGGTAGAGCGGGTGAGGGCAACAACGGAAGGGCTGCGTGAAGATGCATTCGAGCTAGGCAGGGTCGGTGCCCGGGAGGGAGGATGCTGCTGTCGTATACGGCGCAGGCCAGAGAGCCCCAAGCCGTGCTCGTGGTCGGTAATAGGAGATGGTCTGATCGGAGCGCGCGGTCAGCAAACAAAAGCGAGCTACCATGGCACAAGTCTGGTGCGGAACACGCCGCTGCCAAGGGACGAACCTGGTGATTGGGTCGTGGTCCAAGAGGCCGGACGACGAGGCTTCAAAGGACATTCGGTATCGACTGCGGTCGGACGGGTCAGCTGATAGATGCAGGTTTCCCGTGCTGCGGTTCTTGGGCAACGACAGAGGCTGCATGGTTCGGTCGTGTCCTCTGTCATCGTCCCTCGTGTTGCTCTCGGTGCCTGAAAATGGAACGGGCATCAGTCACGGCGTCTTTGTCTACAGATTGGCTTCAATGTCCAAACATACGGTTGTCTTGGGGGCCGCCATGTGTCTGAAGCATACTTGTAGACCTCAGTTCACGCGCCTGTCTAGTGGAGTGATGTTCGACGCAATTTGAAGCAGGGTCCAGGTGGCGAGGAGGAGTCAATCGAGCCTGGTCTCGCGAACAGTCGAATTCAGCTCAACCAGGCTTCAACCGGCGTTCGAGGTTCGGCAGGCCGATTGGATTCCGTAGCTGGCGTCACGGAGAGTCGCTGGATGTCAGTGCTACGCGGATGCCGTGGAAAAGACAAAGGATGCGAATCGGCTGCCGTAAGAGGAGGTTTCGAGTACAGCTCAGACGCCCAAGGCCGGTTTGCCAGTGCTGAAAGACGGGATTTGCTACCACAAGGGAGAGAATTGAGGTCGGTTTGGACAATTTGGCAAATCTGCGGTTGGGCGACTTGCTCGGGGCGAGGGGTTCAGAGGCGCGAGAGGGGTGAAGGCGCTGGAGAGGAGCCACTGCTGCCCACAAATCAAAATATCGACAGTTGGAGTGTCAACGGCATGCCAATGACAGCGGGAGAAATTCTGGCCCAGTACATGTAAAGCCGAAAGAACGCCCTATCGTTAATATCACGGCCACTTTTGTTTTGCCTTTTTACCCCGAGATTGAGTCCTGCTGTAGCTCTACAGTCATTGACGTTGAAATTTTTTCTACAGCGTGCAGGCGGTTCCTCTTAGGCGCAGGACTCCAATTCTTCTAGGTACCTAATGCTAGCTAACTCATCCATGCCCTACGAAAGAATCTTCTTGTCCGCCTGACAGCACAGACATTCCTGCAGCCTCTCTCTCCTGTCGTTCTTTTTCTATGGCTTTTACTAATATGAGCCATTTGAGTACCATTACCATTCCACGCCGTGAAAGCGTGACGCAGATCGCCTGGGATTGCGCAGTGCCAACTCAAATGCGCTTTATTCTGCAAGGAGCAACGCCAGCTGCAGAAAATCGACGGGATTGAGAGACATGATAGGTACGTAATTGGCCGGTTTGCATCAGCTCACCGGAAGAGCATCAACGCCAGCTTCCGAACATCTCCAGCAGCTCAGCTAGAAACCGTTGAACCGCGAATGGCTCAGCATGTGAATATCGCTATCCGTGCTAGTCCGCAACTAAGTTGCTGCTACTGAGGAAGAAACAGCCACACGTTCCTATCCACAGATAAGTATGTGCAGCATAACGAGTACTATTGGTGAACGGCAGTAAGCTCTCTTTTATCCACGGTTGGCGGCAGAATCGAGCGAGAAGAGGAGTAGAATTTCCACATCGGGAAGAGTAATGTTTTCGCATAAGACAATGGCTCTTGATCAGCTGCTACACAAGATCTGGCATGTAGTCTGGCTCCCCAAGTCTAAATCTCCCTAGGTAATTTGTCTAACACTTAAAGGTGGATGAAATACCCCGAGACATTCTCCGTAGTCAGCCGACATGGAGATTTGCCGGGAGCTGGAGATGCTCCGGCCACATGGCCCATTTCCCCAGCTACCAAATCTCAACCATCTGGTCTACTTAGGTACCGGCAATTACTCCGTACGCGTACTATTGATATATTGCAAATTTAGCATGAATTTTCCCCTGCTGCGAAATGTAGCCGTCCTGGTCTTACAATAACAGTATTACACAGGTCGCTGGTAATGATATAGACCACCGACAACGTCTAACAAAACTCGGGGTATGATATTGATACCCTAGAACCGGCCCAAAGAGCCCAACGTCGGGATATTACCGCATTATATGTACGCAGTTATCCCCGGGGTGGTTCTCATTACCCAGTATTATTCATGCCCAATGCATTCCCTCGCACTTCCCATCCCATATGCCATACGTGCCTATGAACCATCCCCGAGTGTTCCCCAATTGGCTGTTATCCGTCCATTAGCATTGGGCAAACAAACCCCTTTAGCACTGAGTACATGTAGTTGCAGTTGCAGTTATCGGGTACCAGCGGGTCTGCGATATTTAAAAGGCATGGCATGTGCTCCCTTATTCTGAATGGCCAAGACAGCGTCGATCGTTGCCTCGAATGCTGCATGCACATTTACTACATACAGTCGATGGAATTTTCCCGTCTCCCATGAATAATACGAGGCGACTACGCCCGTCAAACTGTTTGCGCTACAGCACGCCATATGGAAGGAATCAATCTCTGGTACCTGTTAATGCAATCATGTTCCTGCTAGTCTTCCGCTATTGAGGTGAAGGTTTCTTACGGCCCGAAACCTGCTACCCAATAGTACTTGAGCAGTCTGTACTCCTTTTGCCACCCTACTAAGGTACTAACAGAGGAACCTTGCCTCAAAAGAACTGTGCTCACCCTGATGCCTTAAGGTATGTCCTGTCATGGCAGAAGATGAGCGATATATGAGGCACAAGAGACATCTCCGAATGCAACGTAATCGTCACACGGCAAGGCTGGCCTATCTAGAGCGCCACAAGCTATGGCGCATGCCGGCACTGACCGCAGCATGGCTGGGTGCATGTGCTGTCGAAATCGTTGCAATGGATGCCACGGTACTCCGTACTCTGAACTTGAAATGGCACAAAGATGCTGGTGCAACTCAGGGTCTCCGTATACCTGTACAGTAGTGGGCTTTTAGTGGGGGTTGCCCTGCCGCAGGGTCTCCATGCAGCGCTAGCAGCTAGCGTTGGCGTGGCTCCGTATCTTATCGATATACCCCAGCTTGCTGGGCGCTAGCCGTCTATTCGACGGCAACTCTACGGTACTCGCGAGTAATGTCCAGCATTCAGTCACAACTCGTAAATGGCGTTTTCCGGAACCAGCGCCCACGCCCACAAGCCCCCCGTTGCAGAGGTCAGCCACAGCTTCTCCAGCATCTGACGGGGAGTGGATTTGCTTTACTCGTACGCATTGTTGGCGACCGAGGTGGGGGAGGCCGACCGAAAACGTACTCGTACCCTTGAGCCTTTATTTTTCTTTTCTGACGATGCGTCCGACACGCCACCGGCCACATTAGGTTTTTTACCTTTCCTCCCTCCCCCTTTTTGCCTCTGATCTTTTACTTGTTATCTTTCATCCTCGTTCCTGTGATCAACAGCCCGCTTTGCTTGGGTGGGCATGGGATTCAGATCGTTATTTGCTATCTTGATTGCGATACGGCAAAGCCTGAGCCAGTCTTCTGGTGCGGTCACGCTGACCACCCCGCGGCCACTTTGGTAGCCCGGCTGACCTCTGCTCCAACTTGCCCCGTGCCTCGTCGACGGCATCGAGCATTTTCTGCCGCGAGCCTCGTGTCCAGATACCGAATCGATTCATCGAAAAGGGCGACCCTCCAATAAATCGATAGTCATAAGTGGGATGCGTTGACAGGAGCCTCGACGGCCTTTAAACTCTCCCCAGGCGGACCCAGGCCCCGCATCGCCGCCATTCTTTTTACATCACAGCAAAACTTAAGATTTTCATACGCGTACGAATTAGATCTGCTGGAGATTTACTTTTCCATTCAACAAATACGCCGAAGACAACGCTTGTCGAGACAGCCTTTTTAGCGGGGGAGATATACGTGAGGACAAGGGAAGCCTATATCATCCATCCGACGGGAGTACCCAACCAACAGCCATGGCTGAGGTACTCGATATTACGGCGGACGCTCCGGTGTCCGCTGACGACGGCACTTCTCCCACGCCACCTGATGCGCCCTTGAAGGGTAAGAGTCGCCAGCGAATTCTCCGTGGCATACAGCGCATTTCTTCTTCGCCGTCCCTTCCTGGACTCGGACGATCTCGATCCGTCAGCAACCCCTATAGCATTCGATATGGGTCCATGTCTTGTGTCAGTCTATCTACGGCCGGGGCATCACAGGCGGCCCCTAGTGCTAGATCTGCCACGCCGCAGCTCTCTGCTCTGAATGTGGGAGTCACATCACATCCAGGATCCCAAACCAAGGTCTTCATATTCGAGGAGGAAAATGATGATGTCGAGGAGTTCCCGGCCATTCGCAAGGCCAATCATGGAATTTCCATAACCTCACACGCTATATCCTCCCTACCCTCCGAAGTCAGAGGACGGACCAAGCCCGTGGAAAAGAGAGCTTTCAACTTTTGGGCTGGCATACCCCACGAAGTCCGAATCCACATCTTTTCATATTTCCGACCCAAGGAATTGGTACGGATATCTAGAGTCAGCAAATCCTTCTACGGGTTTTGCTTTGACGGTCAGCTATGGACATCGATTGATGCCTCGGAATTTTACCAGGAAATTCCTGCTGCGTCACTGGCACGCATCATTGCCGCTGCTGGCCCCTTTGTCAAAGACTTGAACTTGAGAGGATGTGTTCAGGTGGAGCACTACAAGCGAACCGAAGTCATTGTCAAGTCGTGCAAGAATCTTATGAATGCGACTCTCGAAGGCTGTCGGAATTTCCAAAAGCACACTCTCCACAATCTTCTAAGGAGCAATGAAAAGCTAGTTCACCTGAATTTGACGGGACTGGCGGCGGTGACAAACACGTCCTGCAAAATCATTGCAGAGTCGTGTCCTCAATTGGAGAGCTTCAATGTTTCATGGTGTCAGAAGGTAGAGGCTCGTGGGATCAAGACAATCATCGACGCATGTACAAAATTAAGGGACCTCCGTGCTGGCGAAGTGAAAGGGTTTGATTGTCTCGCCACGGCAGAGTCAATTTTCAACACAAATCGACTAGAGAGGCTTGTTCTTAGCGGATGCGCCGAGCTCAATGATGAGGCGTTGAAGATTATGATGCAAGGGGTTGATCCTGAAATCGACATCCTCACAGGCCACCCCGTGGTTCCTCCTCGGCGGCTTCGCCACTTAGATCTGAGCCGCTGTATCAGACTAACAAGCGCAGGTGTCAAGGCGATTGGCCATGTGGTGCCAGATCTGGAAGGCTTGCAGCTTTCAGGATGCAAGACATTGACTGATGCTGCGCTTGAGCCTATCCTTGGCTCAACACCGAGGCTCACTCATCTCGAACTGGAAGATCTCGACGAGATAACCAACTCTCTTCTCTCCGAGCATCTTGCCAAGGCGCCTTGCGCTGGCAACTTGGAGCATCTCTCTCTGAGCTACTGCGAAAATATTGGAGACTTGGGAATGCTTCCGGTCATGCAGAAGTGCGTACGGCTGAAGAGTGCCGACCTCGACAATACGAGGATCAGCGATTTAGTTCTCGCCGAAGCCGCCTCGATGGTTATTAAGCGTTCCAAACCAGCCTCAGTAGGCGAGGTCCGTCCCAAAATTACGCTACGTTTGGCAGTATACGATTGCCAAAATGTTACCTGGACAGGCATTCGAGAGATCCTGTTTAGAAATTCCCAGGTTCGACCAGCTACGGGACAGCCTGGCGGAATCACCTACCCAACTGAGGCTATTGGGCTGAAATGCTTCTACGGCTTCCAGATGACGGTCGATGAGCACCAAAAGAGAGTTCTCCGGGGCGACCTTGTCGCTGCCGGTAGGCTGGAGAGGAAGTGGGCAGATTACATGCAGGCAAACGAAGAGGCCGGTGCGGGAGGAGCTGGATATCGGAGGCGCCGACGTCGAGCAAGGCATGCCCAAGCTCTTCATGCGGATGAAGAGGATGGAGGAATTGTTGGCCGCCGCAGAGCAAGGACACTGGGATCTTGCTCTGTAATGTGAACGATGCGGATTAAGACCACATGTTGGTCTGAAAAAATTATGAATGTATGATCATCTCATTCGGCTCATCTACTCTCAAGGTGGAATTTTTTCTTTTTTGTGCAAAAGAAGGGAAGCAGCCCAAAGGCTTTCATCTAGCCTGGTTTCTTCCTTTTTCTTTCTCTTTTGGTTTATTTCGCTGGCTGCATACGGCGGTGGCGTTGTTCGAATGCCACAAGGCACGGGGTGTTGATGTTTCGGGAGTAGAACATACAGGAGATGACAAAGTGGGAAATGGGAGTTGGTTTGGGCAACGTCTCTTTGGATTTTCTTTTTCCCTCTGTTCAACCTTTTTTCCTTTTCAATCTTGCAAACAACCCAACTTACCGGCAGCGGTAGAGATTGGGCGCTCCTCTGAAATGACATGATGTCGGCTTTGGGCAGGACCCCCCCTTTCGACCTATGAGTGCAACAGGATTGCCTGGATGTCAGAGGATCGATCTAGACTGCCAGCACCGTCTATGAATGTCCTGCAAGTTATGATTAGTTTGACGCAAATAGATTGATTCTGCTATGCATGGCTACTTGTCATTGATGCTTTGCCATGTGTCAGTTGCTCTCTGGATGTTCACGCAGGCCCGCGGCGGTCAGCTACACACACACACAAAGAGGGTGCTTATTATGGGATGAGTATGCAGGGGAGAGAAAACTTCGTATTGAGCAGCACGAAGGAGGCTGGATTATGCAGCCCGGGAATGAAAACTCGGTGTGGGCATGTATGTATTAGTGGTGATGATGGAGGGGGCTGGTGTAAGTCTGGCGAGGACGACAAAGCGGCGTCGTATCAGCCCAGCCCGCCCCTACTTTTCTAGGTACATTGACTTGCTAGCATCTCGACAACACAAGGCAAACGTTTCTACACAAGTGGTCCTTTAGAAGCCATTCCATCTTGACTAGTACCAACTCGAAGTGAATAGCATTAGTATTGATGCTAGTCCCTCGCCTCGTGGTGCTAGAGAAACACTTGGATCCAGATCCACGTGGTGTGAGGAATCCTTAAATCCAGGCCTATTTTAGGCCGAGACTCTTCCTTCCGCTGAAGTAGGTTCGCCGCTGTCGAAGTGATGGGAGCAACAAAGGCTTGTCACATTTACCTTGTCTGATGCATTTACTTGCATGTAGCAGCGGGCGAAGGCTGAGCCGGACCCGGGTCGCACTGTGTACCGCGCATGTCTCTTGACAACAGATAACTTGGAATTGGATGTGTGGAGAAAACAATCAGGATCGAACGAACGCTGTTGGTTCGAGAAGTAGATTTGCAAAGTCGAGGCGATTGATGATAACAGACGCCGTCTCTTCTCATTGATGAGGGGGGAACTTTGGCCCGGAGCATCTTGCACCTCGCTTAGGTGCTTGCATTGCTTTGCTGGCCTTTGGGAGAGGATGATGATGTGAGTAGAGTAGCATTAGCATTAGCATTCGCAGTAGCAGGCACAGGACCATGTAGACGCAATGCAAGCATCCCAAGTTACAGAAGGCGATGATTGGTGGCTCGTCCAGATGCAGATGATTTGAGCTTCTCACCGGCGTGGAGACCACCAAACCACCCCCGGCCCTTTGAGGCACGTATAAATGCAGGCCGTGGATGGGTTGCCTGTCTCCAAAAAAACAACAACGGCCAATAGTCACCGAGGGCCCGCACGTGTGTGTGACGACAAACAAAATGCAGATGCAGATGCAGATGTTTCTTTTTTGGTTCGTATTTTTTGCATCTTCTGTTTTTTTTTTTTGGTCTCTGGCCTTTTCCCGGGTACTCGTGCTGTGAAGATATTTTCAGGTGCGGGATAGGCTCGCATTGCATGCCCTGTGAGCAAGCATTCAATTGTGGCTGCACAATCCCTGCGACCGGTGAAGGCAAGCGAGGCGAGTGTTTGCTTTTTTTTTTTTCTTTCCTTTTTTTTTTTTTACTTGCTTTTTGCGAGTTGGGGTTGATCCCACCGACTTTTTGTTCCCTGTTTTTGATTCTTTCTCGTTGATGCAATTGGACTGATTCATGTTATCGGGGCACATGAACGCGAGTTCAAGTACATACATGTACGTCCGTCTCGGTACATGTCTGTATGAGGGACACTGAGCACAAGTCACTGGGCACAGGCCACACGCAGAGATCATCAGTTCCATTGAATTTCTCTGAACCGCCCGGCGCCACACAGTACTATATCTAGTGTATACCTTTAATCTGTTTGAAACTCGATTGCTGAAGAAAGCCAACGGCGTTGAGGCCATTACCTAGCCAGATCCTCAACAGGCTAAGAAATCCTCGCTATAATAGACAGTGGTGTGGCTCGGCTAACTCTACCAGAAACGGCAGTCTAGCCTGCAAGCTGAAGATTGCCTGCTGCTCTACTCCGTAGTAGCTCCGTACCTCATTCGTACCTGTACCTTGTGAGGTGCCAGCCTCGTTGCCCGGCGTGCTGTACTATGGATATTGTTCCGTGCTTCCGCGGAGGATTTGCATTGAGGGCACGTAAGTTGTAGCTTAAGAGGGCGTGTGCGGACCAGACGTGAAGGAGAAAACAAGAGTCGCACACGCATCGTGTGCAAAGGCCTGGTTTTGGGGTGATACAGCGTCATGTAGTCATATTACTGGACGAGCAAGGCAAGGTACGGGATGGGGAATGTGTACATCCCTGATACTAATTTGCTGCCTCCTCTGAAATCAGCCAGTAATAACGCCAGACCTTGATTTCTGACTCTGCCAACGTCAACTGGACATCCATTATGTACCATCCATTCTTTATTCTAGAACAGGCACAACACCCTCCATTGAGGTAGTTTATCCATTCATTGAGTTGCACATTTGATCTTTAATTCAATTCCAATGCCATTCTCAACAACCTCTCCAGCACGCTAATAAGCATTCAATGTAATTGTAACAAGGCTCACTACTACTCAACTTAGCACTACTACTATCCATACTAATCCTGTCCCACCAGCCGCGGCAAACGGGTGCGTTTTTGAGCCCCACGGATCTCAGTCTGGCTGCTGGCAGAAAAATCCCGAGGCCCAGCAAGTGGCAGCTGTGAGTCCAAAGTAACACAATCTCGTCCTGCGCCTCTGTCCGTGCTGTTCTTGTCTATGAAGCGGATTTTCATGGCCTGAGCAACCCCCAGATCCGAGATTAGATTCCGCCTCGGGGTACATCATCTCGCATACAGAACAAAGAGAAAAAAACGGACGCTCGTGCTGTGAACAAAGAAGCAACGCAACATCCTCCTCCTCCTAAACATGCCTCTCGAGACAATATACGTCGTCCGCCATGGGGTAAAGTGTGCCCTCTTCCTTTTTTGCTTTTTTGATCCCCTCACCCCCCTTGCACTGCAGACAATGGCGTCACGAGGCTGAGGGCTCTTGTATTGACCGTTGCTATTGTCAACGCCAGTTCCGGTCTAGTTGGTCCGTCGACCACACCACAGGAGTGTATTCAGCTTCGATCCCATCACCAACAGGAATCGCTGTGGACCCAGCACTCACCGCCCACGGGGTCGATCAGTCCAGGCAACTCGCCCAGCATCTCATGACGATAGACCCCCCCGTGGAGGTTGTGTACTCGAGCCCCTACTACCGCTGTCTGCAGACCATCACCCCCTTTGTCGAGCTCCAGCAGCAAAGGCACGCAGCACACAGGCATGGCGAGAGCACGAGTACCGGCAGTGGCAGTGACAGTGGCCCTCCCTCTGCTGCCGCCACCATGATACGGCCTGAACACGGAATCTGCGAGTGGTTCGGTTCCGCTCCGTTTGAGCATCCCGGCCCAGCCTCATCCTCAGTCCTCAAATCCTTGTTCCCTGCTTTTGATGAGAGCTACGTGTCGGCGCAGTATCCTCCCAAGAGGGGCGAGACGCTGGCCCAGCTGCAGGCCAGGCTTACGGCCACGATGCAGAGTATCATTGATCGCTGCGACGCTGAAGATAGACGAGCCGTTGTGCTGTGCACTCACGCCGCAGTGGTCATCATGTTGGGCCGCATCCTCACGGGCGACTTTCCCGAGACTGTAGATACCGATGACTTCCACGCTTTTACCTGTGGACTGAGTGTCTACCGCCGGAAACTTGGCAATCGGGATCAGGGACGGCGAGGAAAGGGGGAGTTGCCTGACAAAGAGCCCAACCCTAGTGCTGCTGCTGCTGTTGCTGTTGGAGGTTGGTCATGTGAGGCCAACAGTGACTGCAGCTTCTTGGCCGGCGGCGAAGAGCGAGGCTGGTACGTAGAGCAAGTAAAGTTTGTTCACTTGAGAGCTATGCTGATGGCGTAATTGCTGGGTGTTAGGAAGTTCGTAGGGGACGAGGAGTTTCCAGACACAGGCTCCATGTCTCAAGCTACATCCGAGTCTAAGCTGTAACGATGGCTCGGGGATCAACAAGCAGTCAATGCAGTACATAGGTGATATGACGACTTGCAAGCCCAAGTACAAACTAGGGTTTGAGAAAAACAAGGGCTGCCTATTCGCGGACAACCCTTGACGGTTGTGACGTTCACTTTGGCCGGATGATACACGTTTGTCGGTAGAGTATTATTAGATTTCGTCACGGGAATCACACCGCGTGGTAAAGTTGCTCCTAGATAAGAAACGACATGATCATTAGAACGGCCGTGCATGGTGCAACCCGCGAATTCCCTTGTTGATTGCCTCGTTAGGTCGAGCTCACCTGTTAGACTCGAGCCGCTTTTGGACATTGCGGACAAACACAACGCAAGACAGAGCGTGTATGTACCTTTACACTGCGTCCCGAGAGAGAGAGGCCCCCCACGGAAGCCCTTCGGATCGTAGCCCTACCAGGTCGGAAAGATGCTCCTCGCAGTCCATTCCGAGAAAGGACCGTCTGCTGGTCCTTGCACTGCAGTTTTTGACGGGCTCTGCTTGTCTCTCTATATGGGCATCTACGATCTGATACTGTACTCTGTACTCGGGCACCCGGGCAATGGTTCCGTTCAGGCGCTGGGACACCGCAGTATGAGGCACAGGCCGTGCTGCAATTTTGAAGAACCCGGCAAGTGGATGGACCATGTCTCAATGGATAGCTATCCTTCAATTTACGGAGTAAGTGGCCAAAAGTGCCTTTCCCCACCACGGCTTGGAGCAGGGAGAATCACGAAGCAACGCCACAAAATGATTTCCGACAACAACTTGGGCTAATGAAAGGGCATTTGTCGTGGAGAGGATCCAACACGAGATACAACATCGTGATTGGTCTCTTTTGCTTTCTTTTCTTTTTTTACTGAATCTGCCTAACATCTAGTCTAAGGTTTGCTTAGCACTTCCCCCCCGCCCCGATTTGCAGCCAAGGAGATTTAAGCTCCTGATGGCGATGGGCATCTTGGTTGTGGAGCTCTAATGTAACGCATGTAAGGGCCATTCAGAGACACGCATCGCAGAGTCTTGTCCCCTTGCGTTGTGAATAAGTAGTTTCACAGTCATATTTAAAATGTTTCACGGTATGGACGGCTCGAGAAAAACGTGGCGTCCTGGCTTGTCGATCCCCCGGTGCAATGGTGTTTTCCTGACTCTGCTATTTTGACTGAGAACTGGTTTTCGGCAACCATTGCCCGTGCTCCCGTCTATGGAAGTCGGGACCAGATGACTTTCATCTGAGATTCATGCACCAGTGACTACGGAGTACGTGATTATGGAGATTGGGTGCAGACTATGCCAGGGAAGCATACGCCGTCTCTTCTGTCAAGGATATACTGTCTTCAAGGGCACCTCAATGGAGAAAGTCACACGGACATTGATGACAACTGCTGCCAAGGATGGCCACTCTTTTAAAAAAAAAAAAAAAAAAAAAGAAAACGAAATATTGAATATGAGATTTGACAGAAATTTTGCCCTCATGAAGAGACGGCTCATGCAAGGTACCCCGAGTTAACGATCTATAGACTGGTCCCTGTAAGCGTACTTTTGGTGGCTGAGATCTGTTTCTGTGCCGTCTGTTGACGCTTTCTTTTCTTTTTCTTTATTTAGCCAAGAATTATTGCTCCCTGCCGTGCCTCAAAACTTACCTGTCGTTTTTTCTTTCTTTTAGCTGAATTTATTAACTCCTAATCAGGGAGGAAAACGCCACGCCGCTCTTTATTTATTCATTATTGGATAGGTAAAAGATAGACGAAGCTCCGCCCTATTATACGGTACACACGGCAAGACACGAATTATACATACCTAGTAGTGAGGTGGTTGTTAAGAACATACTGTAGAGCCTATAATAGTGCAAGTAACGGACAATGAAGAGTTGTTCGGACTAAAGCCATGTCTCGCTTTGGAGAATCAACTAATGCATGAGTTCGGATAAGAAAATGCCGGCAACAATTAAACGGAAGAGGAAGCTCAACATGGATGTGTTTGCTTCACACCTTGGCAGAGGGGAACCTGGATAGACGGGCTGGCATGCGCTTACATGAGTTGAGTTACGACAGTATGCCGTAGCTTACGAGTACTTCCAGTAAGGCATCAAGTCGGCATCGTGTTACTCGCCGCAGCGCACAACGTCCAAGGTACACACACCTGTTTTGTGCGACACGCTGGCTATGAACTATTAGATTAGGACCTGCCTCTATAGCGTGTAAGCAGTGCTACCCTAAAAGCGGCGGGCGGAGTTGGAGTTGATTGACGTGGAATCAATACATTTGATGTAAATGTACGGGTACTTCTGCTATGCTGTCGTGGTGGTGGTGATGGTGCTATTTCGTCCATTCAGATCCCGCCATTTACAACAGAGGCGTGTCTTTGAAAAGAGAAAACAAAAAGAGAAAACAAGCGGCCAAGTCGAGCCTAGCTGCAAAATGCCGGACTGCGTTCGACGGATGAGTTGCGCGTTGCATTGGGCGCATGTACTCGTTGTGACTACTGTACTCGTTCGTTCGTAACGCATGCAATGCGCTATGCACCAGGCCAGACGTGCATATCATGCTGATGTGATGTGACAGAGCCCACGTCCTCGGAACCACACCAAATCCCTCGAGGTGCAGCAGGGCGGCGCTTTTGGCTCTTGCGGCACCGCATCCCGATAGGCTGCAGAGGGGCGATTGCAGCTTCACCGGTGAGGAGCTACAGACAGGCTTGTTGAGACATGGCGGCAAGCCGGAAGCAAAACCGGCTCTCCGGAGATCTGCTGCTGCTCCCTTTCGGCCTCCTTTGCCCTTCCGTCTTCTTTGTGGTTGTGCGGCCGCAGACACCGCCTGGTAGCCGCCTGGACTAAGCCGGAGCAGAGAGAGGGATGTTCTTACTAATGCATCAAATCCATGCACATCTTGAGGAGGAGTTGCTCCCTTGCTGGTCTGTATCGTACAGTGTCGTATCGACAATCCTGTAGTGATGATATGCTGACAGGGTATGTTTGGTTTTGGTGTCTTGCCTTGGCCTGGGGGATAAGGCGAGCTGAAAGCTTATCGACGCATTACTCGGCCGGGGCAGATGCAAGTACACAATACGCAGCTCCTGGTGCTCTGAACCAATGCATCACAGGTTTCGGGTACTGACCAACTGCGCAATCACGATGGTACGGCCTGCTATGGAGCTGATCGCTGCTGGCATTTTCGCAGACGGTACGGTACGGTACAAGTACGGTAGCATCAACTCCATCACTGATCCGCTGCAGCTGCCCACTCGGTCAATGCAAGAACAGGGGCGCCGCTGCCAATCAGCTGCCAATCAAATGCTGGCGATGGCTTACGAGGATTCGATAAATGGTGGTGCCCGCATCGGGTCTAGCGCGGACCGGGGACTGATTGGCCTCTATCCGTTCCCTTGCGCCAAATGGCTCTAACACAACCTCCTCTCGACAAGGGAAAGGCAACGACAAAGGCCGACAAAAAGAAACATGCTCTACATGCGTGCGCCACACTCATTTTTCTCGTGTAATTTTTTTTTCCCTTTTTTCCTTCCTCCCCTAGTCGTTTTACTCGTGTCTAGTGCCAAGCACTGTCCCCTTCATGGTCTGTGGAAGCGGCGTTGTCTGACCATGTCACCACTCTTGTCCACAGCAGCTGGCACTAATGCTGCTTAAAACGCCATTGCAACATCTCGGCCCAACGCAGCCGGTGATGATTATGATGCTGTTGACAATGAGAAAGTGCTACTAACGCTGATGAATGCTATCACGCCGCAAATCTTGAATGAGAGGGGCGAGGGCGTGGAGAGCGTGGATCAAGGGCCGCTGGTAATGAATTATGGGCTGTGGATGATGGCTCGACCCTTTTCGTGAGCAAGTGCTTCGCGGAGAACTGCCAAGTTCATCCGGCACTGCACGGCGGGCTCAGCCGCGAGGCAAGGAGGTCTGTTCTTCGCTGCTTTGGACTTTGGGGCCTCTCCGTAGCTGCCGTCTCTGGGAGCCTGCCCTGCATCTGCTTCATTGCTCTCAGACACGCAGCAATTCGCCGTCGCATCGCCTGCAGAAACAGAAAAAAGAAAAGAAAAAAAGGGAACCGACTATACGCTAATATGCGTAGGTAAAACGGCCTAGACTTGATGTGGCATCTCCCGCTCAGCTGCTACCAGTTTACCTCTGACTTGGCCGTGACCTGCCACCCCGGCTTCTGGCAGCCGGTCAGTTCTCAGATCTTGTTCGGTCTCCTCTTTACCGGCCGGGTGAGCCACGTCCAACCTGGGCTCGATTCCCTTGCTCCCGTGCTTTCAATCACCCAAGACCAAGACCAAGACCTTTATGCAGAGCCGCCCGGCATGGAAGCCCGATGATACCAGCTGGCACGCCTCGCCTCCCCCACGAGATTTGGACATCTGTTGCCCAATTGGACTTGAGAACAAAAACGGTCTCGAATGCTGCTTATCCTCTCCGTGAGCTGGTCGCCACCATCTAGACTGGTCTCTGAACTGCAATTCCATGCAGGCGGCTGCACCCGCGCATGTCTTGTCTCCATCTCATCACAGGATTCAGCTTGGTCTGGGCTGTCGTGTTGTTGTGTTTCTGGATAGAACCAGTATCCATCAAATTTCCAACCTCTCGGGTTCAGCCCCTGTGGAGGGTGAGCTTGACAATACATACTTGCACAAAGCATGTAAGCCGTGAGCAAAGCCCGGTCCCCGGCACTGTGTGCGTATGTGAACATGCCCAAAGCCATGCCGTTGGTCCAACGCAGAAGATTGCTGTCAATCTTGGTGCAAATCCCCCAGACTGGCGGCAGGCCCCCCGGCATCTGAATGCAGCCTCCCTGGACGAGATGATGATGATGGCCATACAACCCGTGCGGCTACGTCCACAGAGGATGGAGTGCGAGGGATATCTATACTACTACTGCACATTCAATGCGGGTGGCGCCTCGTGGCGAGGATCCGTCTTCGCACCGCTTGCTGCTAATTTTGATGGTTGCAAACGTGCCAATATCAACCAACACAGCTGTGGATATGCTAACCAACGTGGTGCTATTGGGAGATCTCTTCAATGCCACCGGATCCCTTTCTGGTTCCCTAACAATATCCACAATCTGTCCATGCGTCTTGACAGGTTCTTTGCTTTGGGCAAGAAAATAAAATAAACACGCCATCTTTGATACATAGTCAAGTGAGTGGCTTACATGCCTCAGACGATGGGACACGTGTCGGCCGCAACACCTGTTCTTGACGGAGGATAGTGGGAATTTTGTGTTGGTGATTGTCGTCTCGGATCGGTTTGACCATCGGCCAGTATCTTGTGTACAGATTCTCTCCCCCCTCCCCCCTCTCTATCTATTGTCATCACCCATGGTTCACCACCCCCAGCTCAGCCCTTCGGCACTAGCCTCGTCTTAGGCGCGCATTGGCTCATGTTCGCCACGCCGGATCTGTCTTAATCAGTGAATACTCCCCGAGTTTCTCTTGACCTTGCAAAAGCGGCTCGCCCTGCAGAGCACAGGCGGAGACAAAACGCCTCTGATGGACACCCCGGCTGGTGCCAATTTTGGTCCCCTGTCTTCTCAGACAGAACAGCCGCAAGGTACCGTTTTTCATCGATTCTACGGTGATCCACTTGAACACCCTGGGGCACACATTGGCTGTTGGGTCTTGTCTTGCTGTGCAGGGTTGACTGGGCGAGGGCGGACACAGACCCTCCCCTCCCAGAATCAAGACTGGGAGTGAATTGTACCGCCCTCTCTGGGGCCTATCACGGTCAATCTATCTATTGCCATGGCAGAAGCAAAGCGGTGCATTAGTAGGTCATGGCTGAGACCTGATCCCACAGGGTCTCGACACTCTACGACAAAGTGCAGCAAAGTACAAGAAGACCGTGCTCCTCGTGTTCACTCTCACTCAAGTGTTATCCTCAAACCTATCCACTCCTTCCCTTCTCACGCAAGTCTTGTTCGTCTACCCTTTTGTCACAGTCCATATCCCTCGCTACTGCGACCATCTGCCTATTGTGCTCTCCCTCTCGTTTAGCCTGGGCCATTGTGTCTTAACTGCAACTTTTATCGATTCAACCATTGTCTTCGAGACAGCTCAACTGTGCAGGAGACTCGTCTATTGTTGCTATTGTCTTATACGCCTTACACGAGAGGTGAACTCGGGTCGCTGTAGAACATGTTCACCGTGCAAGAGGTTCAAGAACTTCGGAGTTCTTCTCCAACCAGACTCAACATGCTTGGTATCGCCAGCATGATGCATAGAGAGGCATTTCTCCCTAGAAAGCAGTCTATCGACCATCTATCTTCGATTCCAAGATCTCTACTCCACCCTCAAACCCCTCCTGACTCAACCTCAGGCAGTCCAATTGTCAAACCTGAGGGTATGTGCTTCTTGGCAACCAGATTCCCAGCCCTTTTCAGTCTAAAGCTACCAGCGTAATCGACTCGGGACAGCTAACATTATTCCAACAGGGTCGTTCTCAGCTGCTTCAAGTATCTCCCGAGAGTGCTCTCCGATCCCTCGTTTGACTCGCCTCAACTCATATGCCAACCCTTCTCCCATCAAATTGCCTAGTCTCGAGGAATTTGACCAAGGTGTTGACGCCATCGCACGGTCGAATGGATCAACACGGTCTTGGACTCTCCCCTCACCTCTTCCTAGCCTGCGTCGCGGTTCCATACTCCCTCAGCCACTGCCGTCAATGTTGGCCTTTTCAATCCATGAGCCCAGCTACCCAAACTATGCCATTAGCAGCGATTTCTGCCCTTCAAGGATGGACGGCTACCCCAGCCCACCTCCAGACAGCGAGGGGAGGCACATCAACCAAAAGTACACTACAGAAGAGGGAGATTTCATCATCTACGCCTGGCACGACAGGAAACTTAAATGGCAGCGTATCAAGCAAGACTTTGCGAGCATGTTTGGCCGAACACCAGAGAGGACTGTTCAAGGCCTTCAGGCTTGGTACTACCGTATGAACCAGCGTATCCCACTTTGGGACGATGATGGCTGGCTCATCTTTGACAACGATGACGACATGGAGCCCAAACACATCAGCATCAAGTGCCGCGAGAGAGATACACAGGACCGGCCGATGGAGCCCTTGGGGCTTGCTCAGCGGTACCCTGAGCGAGCCATCCACTACTCCTGGGTGGACAACGAAACAAAACGCAAGTGCCGCGACTGGGGTAAGTTTGATTCACATTGATGTAACCCCAAGTGGTTCTAAAGCTAACTCTTTCTCCCTTGTAGCTTCCAAACGAGCCTTGCAGTTCCGTGAACGCAGAGAGCGTCGAAAGAGAAAAGAGCAAAGACGCCTAAAAATCTAAGCTTCAACCACAAGACATTTTTAGAAGAAAAAAAGAAGTAAAGAATCACGTTAGAGTGTGGGGGGAGAGTCAGCATTTCTCTCCATCTCGAAAGTCTCTCTCAACACAACAGTATGGCCGTGTACTAATACTCTTCTCCCTCGCGGAGATGCCACCATTCACACACTTATTTTTTTTTTGTCGGCCACAAACACTTTTCTTATGACAAGACTCATAAAACGGCTTTTTCTTTCTCGGGTCCAACTGTACATGCTACAATATGGGCATGGTTCAAAGCATCAAGCATAGGAGGACAGCGTTCATTTGCATCCAAGGGTTTGCTTTGTTTTTTGTTTTTCTCTCTCTGCTTTTTACAAAAATGTTTTTCTCTTATTCTCCCATGTACTAGTATCTATAGTTGCTCTTACGGTTTTGTTATTTTCTGATGGCTGGCTAGAGAAGCCTCCCCGTCTATTCCTGCATATATTTAGGGCCTTAATGAGGAGGAAACATGATGGTAACGCCGGGCGGTATGGGAAAAAAGGGTTGGGTAATAGACTAGCTATGGGACCGGGGGGTTTAGTGTGTAAAAAAAGACGGTCAACATATTTCGCGTCGTATATTAGGATGACAATTTACTTGGTATTGCTACTACGACTACTTCAAGGTCTTCCATAGGTTGTGATTTACTGCTCCTACTCCTCCAGACCATTTTTAACACCCTCCCTCTAGGGACCCCTTTCGGGTTGCCCTGCATTGGTTTCGCTATCCCTTGCGTGTCACAGCATCTGGGCGACCGGCATCCGAAAATCATGGCCCAGCTTTGAGCGCGTCAGAATCGAACATGTATGTACCCTTCTCCCATTGACAGAGGCAGTGGGCATGTGACCCGACGGAATCTCATCCCCCCCGCCGGTTTCTCTTCTTTGGCCTTTCCTCGTGCCAGCCGTGGAGGGGTAAACCCAAGGAAAGCAAGCAAGCAAGCAAACTTGACGGACCCAGGCAGACATACAACACGTGGGAAGCCCAAACGGTATGTTTGCCACTCTGAGAGTCAACAATTTGCAAAAAGAGAGCCTCCACAGTTGGGAAGCCGATTTTCGGAGCAACGTGTTTTGCTCAACAACATGCTCAGCGGTGACAAGATGAAGAAAGGCATGTGTGTAATTATTTTAACAGTAAACAGAGGGCCAAAGCGCTGTGTACTTTCTGGCCTCGTTTTCCCACCTCATTTTCCTCCCACGTAAATGGGGGGAGGAGGCCCGAGCCAGCGGGCTCAAAAAGACGTGAGTGAGGAACAACGAGAGCGGTGAGCGCCATGTCGAAAAAGAGACCAGGGGTGCAGGAATGCGTCGCCCAACACATACATACATACACATATAGGTGTTACATGTACAACAAACGTCAATTGGGCGAGTGTGTGTGTCTGCGTATGTGCTGCGCGCGCCATGTTGCATCATGTTCTGCAAGAGAGAGAACAAGTAGCCCAGCCACGTGGGGGAAGAGGGGGGCAGAGGGTCAAGGCCCAGAGATCAAAACGGTCTCCGTTACACGGCGAGGTGTTGTGATGTTTGAGGGAGGGGAGGGAGGGGGTGACGATGCCGGACAGCACTTGATAGATGAACAGGCGGCGAGATCGGGGGAGGGGGGCGGATGGTGTGCGTTAATCTGCCGTGCATGACAACTAACAGACGGACAAAGAGCAAGGCGGTCTTATCGCGCGTCTCGAAATGCCGCGTTGCGTTGCATGAATTCCCGGATGCGGTCCATTCTTGCGTCATCGTCGTCGTCGTCCTGGCCTTCCATGACAATCTCATCGCTGTCGTATTCGTTGTCATCAAACTCCTCCTCGTCTGAGGCGTTGGCATTGCGGTACATGTAAGCGTGACGATCAAACTCGTCTTCGGTGTCAACCTCGTCCTCTGGATAGTCTGCCGTATAGTAGTTTTCCGCTATGCACAAAAATAGGTGAGGCTTTGTCTTGCTTGGATCAGCGTCTTGCATGGTGGGTGAACTTACCATTTTCGTCCTCATCATCCTCGGCATACTCGTCATCTTCATCTTGAGGCGACCCGTAAAACAGCTGGCTCTCCTCTTCTCCATTCAGGACCAAGATACCAATATCAGACGGCACGACGTTGAGACCCATGGAGTGAGCCGGAATGCGGACGTACTCCTCAATGATCCAGTCCTCATCGTCCCCTTCCTCCTCGCTTGCGTCTGCCATTGGTGTATCTCCCGACTCCTCAACAGGAGGAGTTGCTGCCGCGGCAATCTCAGGGTGGCGCTCTTGATATCTCTTTTCAGGAGCTTTAGGTCTGAATCTCGGCTTCTCGGCTTGCTTCCTTTCCACCTCCATGGCGTGTAAGCTTGCACCAATCTCGTTTAATACCCATTGGTTCATATCCGCAGTGATTTTGTCCATATCATCGGCATTACGGTTGGCCAGCGACTGTGGGAGAGGCGCACGAGCCGGGGGTTCCTGCGAAGGGTCGCGTCTCCTTGCAACGCCGGGCTTCTTCAGATGTTTCTGCTCGATGGGCTCGTCAGATGTTGTCACCATCTCTTGCGGGTGGTCTTGGGCTATAATGGCGTGGGCATCTTTTATGACGAGGCTCTGGCGTGAAGACCTTGGTATGATCTTCCTACGTCCGGTACGCTCGATAAATATCGTTGGTCCATAAGATGCATACTTCGAGCTTCCTGGACGGGCCGATCCTTGGTTGGCGGATGCCTGGGCCAGCATCGCTCGTGATACATGGAACTTGCGCTGTTCTGAGAGCTGCCCATCTGCAGATCGCCTCGTAGCTCCCCGTATGTCGCCCATAGAACCCGAGCTATGGTCATCGTTGTGTGTCTTGGACGGAGATGTTACAGCTTCCGGCTGCGAGACATGAATCACCGGTCTTCCATCGCCACGGCTGACGGCTGGGCCCGACGGTGCTGCCGTTGATTCTCGTCGCTGGTATACCCAATTCGCCTCACTGCGATGGCGCTTAGCCCCTTCATCGAGCTCTACATGGTGTTAGAGGAACGCTGGTGCTGAGAGCCGTCATCAGACAAACTGACGGAGAAAAGTAACGGGAGACTCGTCGTCCCGCTTGCGCTTGACGCGGATGAGCTGCGGGGGAATCGACATGGTTGCGGTCTTGTCAAATGGAATAGACGCTGATGGTGGAAGAAGCCGCGCAAGCGCCAGCAGAAGCGCAGCTGTTGTTGTGGTGAGGATAACAAAAATGCCAATGGGTTTGAATAATTTTTGAGGTTACTCGCAGCTAGTACGAGTACGGGCTAAGAGGTGCCAGAGTCCATACACGGGCAGGTACCCGGGGGGCGTTGCATGACAAATGACGTCGCGTCTCGTTACACGGCGGCTCAGCGCCCTGACTAAACAGAAACAGCATTTTCGTCTGGTTTCAATTGTTTTTGTAGGTACAGTCGAGTATGAGCCAATAATAGGAGGTATTGGTGTTTTAGAAACATGAAACATTGAATTTTGATATCCAATCCCAAGATGTAAAAGTAGTACCTAAAGTGTTATTGTTGCTCAGGTACAAAGAATCCAAGGTGCCACACACTGCCTGACACCGAACCTTGTTTCGAGGTGCCATTAACATTGAACCATCAACCATTAACCGTCAAGCTAATATACAGTAGCGGTATCTGTAGTAATCCCTAGCACTAGCACCCTGCTAGGTACCTACCGCAACTGTCTCGGACCAGCTTCTCCGCACAAGATACCCAGTGGAAGATGTAATGTGATTGGCTCGACCCCAGGCCCATGATCTCACGGCCTAGCCCCGTCCTGGCCAGTACAGAAACGAGCAAGTACAGTACGGTAGAGTACCGTGGAGCTTGTCCAAGGAACCTCGATCCTTGGCTCTTCCGCCCAGATCTGCGTCGTATTGGAGACCTTGTACATACTCGTACTGTAGGGCCTGGTCACCTCGCAGAAAAGCAGAGGTGCATTGCATCTGCTCGCTCGGCTAATGACTAAATGAAATACATAGCGAGAGCATTACAGTAGCATGGCATGGCATAGCATGGCAATAAATACCTCCCCAAAACCCCCCAATCCTCCTCCTCTCGAGGCATTTGATCGCTGCTCTGCTCTAGGCCTTACGCGACGCCCACGTCACCGCCAGGTGCCACTCACCAGCCATGACGATTCAATGAGCCGTACGGGATCCAAAGCCGCCCTCCATCACAAGCAAGGGATTAGCCTTTGGCACTACCAAGCATCGTCACGGCCCGGCAAACCCTCCAAGCGCAAAGCCATTCAGGAGCCTGTATTTCCATTGACATTGCACGCCTGAAACCCCGCATAAGAGAACTCTCTTGGTGTCTGATCAACCCATCGAATCCTTGCTCTGCCATATGCAAGGCAACAAAATCCAGCTCCTTTTTCACCAAACAAGCGTTGCGGTTCCTTACAGCATCTACCAGCTCGCCCCCTGTTTACCCTCAACTGCCATACGAGTGGTGCGAAACAGCATCTCGACTGACCCCGCCGTGCATCTCTTTTATCGTCTCCATCACCATGTCGCCAACCACCATTCCCTATACCGTTACCTACCGCTGCCCTGGGACAGAGCCTCCTGTGTTCCTAGCCGGGAACTTTACCGCCTTGGAGTGGGGGCTCCAGGAGATGGGCTACTCTCGCCAAGAAGGAGGTGAATACGTTTTTGAGTCGCGGGTTTTCGTTGAGCCCGGAAGGGAGTATCATTTCAAGTTCAAGGCTGGGAGAGAGGGCCCCTGGCTCTTGGATGAGAATAGGGCAACCGGTGAGTGCTCATCGTCTTCTCTACTACATCAGATCACCCCCCTGACAAGACATTGCTCATCCAGCTACCGACGAGTCGGGCAACCGCAACAACGTGTTGACACTGCCCAAGAGTTACGTATCCAAGATTAAAGACGATGAAGGAAGAAGGACTTCAACCCCTATTGAGCAAGTTGCTTCGGTTGCAGCCGAGGTTGCGGACGTAGCCTCAAACCTCGACAAGGTAGGATTAGGCGTCATGCCTTTGAACAATTTTCCAACGCGGTAACATCTAACAGACCGGATAGGACGACACGTCGTCGCCTCAGATTAGCGGGTCTGCCGGTGAGAGCGAAATTGACGAAGAACTCAAGACTCCATTATTTGCACACGAGTGTTTTGGCGCATACGAATTTGTCGACGATGCTTTAGACCACGATGCCCTTGATGACAGTAAACTGCGGCAGGATTCGAAGCCCAAGCTCACCGAGTACGACATTGACGATGTGGATATGAACGACCCTACTATCGAGCAGTTTCCATCAGACAAAACCTCCATTTTCAGTACCTTGCGCAAAATCCAATCCAGCCTAAGCGAGGACCAAGCCGTCATTGATGATCAACAGCCATCGCCTCGATTGGACGGGAGAAGATCAAGCGTAGACTCGGATGATAGTCTCTTGTCAGCAGGGTCCCTCAGTCCAGTCACTGCTAGAAAACGAGAAACCCGAATGTCAACTAGCAGCGGTCGAAATCGGTCTCTGGTATCGCTTGGATCCATTGCTGAAGAGCCCAAAACTCCTGGCCCCGAAGATGCTTCCCATCCAATGGCTACGTCTAGCTACCTCAAGAAGGGCACTGGTCGTGCGAAGAGCCCCACAATCGAGCAAGGCGAACACCTTATGATGAAGTAATCCACGGAATTCTCTGGGTGAACGCGATGCAAATACTGGACCGAGTCTACGGAATGGGAATGTAGTGACACGATGGACAGAACATGACGTCAGACCATATATATACGCTATAGGCCAACCGCAGTTAGCGGAGGATGTGTTTTCTTTTCTTTTTTTCCTTTGCACTTTGCAAGCAACCACCTGTCTGTGGAATTAGCATTTTCATGTGTCTGCTGCTTCTTATGAACTAAGCGCAATGAACATATCGTCTCTACAAGAATATGCATCTCTTTTCCTCCGTGCTTAGCATTAGCATTGAATACCAAAATCAAAGAGGCATTAGAGTAAAATCAACCACCGTGCTCCTTTCCTTTCCACTACGCAATGGTACTTTATTGCAGGAAATCCAGCCACTATCTACTAGGTAGATATATCATAAACTACTTTGTTGAATACAAGTAGTCAAGAGTTGCCATTTTCCCGTCTTCTGACACTGAAGTCGGGCCCGGGGTGCCGCCCAAACGGAGCCGGCGCTAGCACTACCGAACCGCACTCCGGGTCGATAAGCTCAAAGAAAAAAAAAAGTTGCAAATCTTGGTGCAACTCCTCCATTACACCAACGACTTCGCCATAATGCGCCGCGCAGCTACAAACTCAGTTTGCTTACGCTGTGTGCATACAATCAGAAGCCGCCCGTTACTACAGCCTTCAGTGATACCCTCAGTGATACCCTCAGTGCAGGCGTCGGTGCAACCATGCTTAGGCCAGCGCTTCTTCTCCCAGCGAGCCAAGGACAAGCCCTCGCGCATGGTCCTTGCCGACCAAGTTCACCGAGCACCACGCCTATCCCGAGATGAACGCAGACCACAACGAGAGAGGGTTGCAGGTCCATTCTCTGGAATGAACAGGAGGGTAGCCAATTTTGACCCAACCCGTGCGTCGACAAGAGCTCGTTCCGGCGATCGCAAATCGACTCAAGAGGAGGGCAGAAGGCGGCCGCAGGATGATAGAAAGGCGCTCAAGATGCAGCGTGCCTTGGCCTCGGTGTCGTACAACAAGCGCACGTCGCTAAAGGAGAAGATGCAGAGTTATGAGTCGTTTGATCAGTTTGATCTTCTCCCAGCTCTGAAATCGGCCGTTGTCGACGAGGTATTCGCAGGATTGGTGGATATTCGCCCAACGCCGGTACAGCGACTAGCAATTCCCGCTCTGCTGGGACAAAAGGAGCCAGGAGAGAAAAGGGTTGGGCATGAGGGGCAATCTTCGTTCTTGTTGGCAGCGGAGACGGGATCGGGGAAGACCCTCGCCTATCTGCTGCCAGCCATTGATGCGTTGAAGGCGGCCGAAGCACAAGATACGGAGATTCAAGCCTACAAAGAGCGAGCAGAGGTAGAGAGGGAGCGTCAAAAAGCTGCGGATTTCAAGGGAAAGCCTTTCGAGGAGCCTCACCCCACCATGGCCAGGCCCAAGGTCATTGTCTTGGTTCCTACGGCGGAGCTGGCTCACCAGGTTGGGCTTGTTGCCAAGAAGCTATCACATGTGACGAAATTCAAGACGGAGATATTATCATCCAATCTCAAGCCCCAGCAGATCCAGCGTAACCTGTACGGACCAAAGGGCGTCGATCTCATCATCTCAACACCTCACCTGCTGGCCTCGATTGCAGATTCTGATCCCAACATCCTCTCCCGAGTGTCCCATCTGATCATTGACGAAGCGGATTCACTGTTTGATCGAAGTTTCTCTTCTGTCACATCTAGCATCGTCGAGCGTTCATCGCCCTCGATGAAGCTGCTCATCTGCTGCTCAGCAACAATTCCGAGAAAGTTGAACAATTATCTGGCGACCAACTATCCCAAGATGATCAGAATCACGACACCAAACCTCCACGCTATCCCCCGACGAGTTCAACTTGGTGTCATCGATGTTTCGAAGGATCCCTACCGTAACAACAAAGATCTTGCTTGTGCCGACGTCATCTACACGATCGGAAGAGAGGCTTCTCAGCACGAAAATCTGGCCAAGGATGAAATTGACGTCCGTAGAGTCATGGTCTTTGTCAACGAGCGAGAAAAGACAGAGCAGGTTGCAGAGTATCTTCGCTCAAAGGGCATTGACGCGCAGGCACTGCACAGAGACACTCCCGAGAAGCGCCACGGCGAAATTCTAGAGACCTTTACAACAGCTGAGCCGCTGCGAATCATTGCATCACCGAATCCATCCCGCCACCGGTCCTTGACCAACGTCAAGGCACTGGTAGTGACTGACTTGGCGTCTCGAGGCATTGATACTTTAGCTGTTCGACACGTTATCCTGTATGACGTACCTCACACCACCATTGACTTTATCCACCGCCTAGGTCGTGCCGGAAGAATGGGGCGACGAGGAAGAGGTATTGTCCTTGTGGGTAATGACGACAGAAGAGATGTCGTTGCCGATGTGAAGAAGAGCATGTTTATGGGTCAGGCGCTCATTTAGACAGCAATAACGGATTGTGAGTGGTTCGTGGTTTATTATCTGGCATATTATGGGAACAACAAAAAGGGAAATGGGATCATTTGTGTGATTAAGAACCGTGTATACCAAACTAACTGTATTGACGAACCACGAGAGATGAACAGGGCTCAAGGCCTCTGGTGTGTAAGAATCTATGATTTGAGGATATATCTCCAATATGAAGAGAAATAATAGAAAAAGATAAAGCACATATAATCGGTTTTCTACATCTATATGCCTATGTAAGCATCGCATGTATGAGTTCAGTGATAACTTGAAGATGAGTGTGGTGAGGCTGAAGTACATGTACCAGGTACCGTACCATGCTAGCACTTTATTTTCACTTCTGATTTTTTGTATTTTTTTGGGCAGGGCCCCGCCAAAAAAGTGGCAGCCTCGCGAATCCTCCACTTCCGCCCGCGTCTGGACGCGTCAAGACTTTAAGCTAAATTAACCCTCACAGCCAAACTGTTGCCCAACTCACATCGTGGTGGTTCACGCAGCAGCAAACCGGGATTTTACTCTCCATTGTATTTTGGACGTGCCCATTGACCAAATCAACACGACTGGCCTGTTTTATTCCTCTTTAATCAGTTGCAATCACCAAAACATCGCCCTCCCTCTGTGCACTTCACGCTGATTGCAATGCCGCGGCCCGCGAGAGGACGTGGTCGTCCACCTCGAGCAGCCAGAGCTGTTGCAGAGCCAGCCAGCAGCAGTCCCAATGTTGCGATTGAAAAGAAGCCCGAAACGAGAGGACGGCCCCGGGGACGCCCCAGAAAGACTCCTTCACTTGCACGACTCAACATTAACGAGGATGATGCTATCAAAGGCGCAAACAGCTCTCGTGATGAGGCGCTCAAGGAGCTCGCCAACGAAGATGCGACAATGACAAGCGAGAGATCGGCGATGCGTGCAAGCTCACGAAGCTCAATAGAATTTGGTCGACATACCGCGACGACGCCTGGACACAACCGACGTACAAGTGGACTAGATCTGGGCGACAGTGATTTTGGCAACTTGGATGACAGCTTTGCGGAAGGTGATATTCCCGGTACGGCGCTCTCAGGGGATATTTCGACCTTGTCATACAGCGCCCTCCGCTCTCAGTCACGACGGTCTAGTTTCATAGGAAGAAACGATCCTCCGATTCGACCCAGCAGCCGCAGCGGAACTACCCCTAGGGTTGGCTCTTCTTTCAACCTGGGTCTCTTCAAGAGGCGTGCGCGAGAACCAAGTATTCTTGGTGCGAACCGGAAACCTCTTCATGATTCTTCAACGGTCGTCCAAGACTCTGAGGACAGTGAAGAGGAATTCGAGCCCGAGGCTGAGTCCACACCATTAAATAACAGGCGACGCACTCGCGGAAAGGACGAAATCGAAGAACCAGAATCACCAGAGGCTGGCGAGTCCTCCAACCCGAGGAAACGCAAAAGTCTAGAACTGCAGCAGAGTAGCTCACGGCCTGAGAAGGTTTCGAGAAGAGAACCTGGACCATCCAGACAGCCAGACGATCGGATCTTGTCTGAATTGCCAGATGCCCCTTCATCGCCTCAACAGGATGAATTGGATGACACCAGCGAGTCCGAAATATCAGAACTCTCCTCGCCTAGAGGACCCCCAGCCAGGCTCCCTCAACGCCCAGTCACACCAGTCAACCTAGAGGAAATTGCAGCTCCCCCAGCAAGCAGCGGATCGGAAGGGCCTGATATGTGGCCGGATATTCGATCACTAGCGAAGAAACGCCGCCGACCTTCCGTCACCACTCCCTCGCGTCTTTCTAACCTCTCCGACATGTCCTCGCCCCCTTCACTGACACATTCACCAAACTTCGACACAGCCAAGACCGGCAAGACGCGAGGGCGACCACCATCACGACAGCAGGCCTCGCCCAAGATGACTACGGCTGATCTTACGAGCTTGCTGCCCAAGCGGCGATACAAGAAGTCGCGCGATCCGCTCGGCCTCGAGAGCGATGAAGAGCTTGATACCTCAGGACTGGGCCATGAGGATGATGAACTGTCTCATCTAGACACCCAGACGGCACGCCGGCGGAAGAGGGGAAGACCACCTCGCTCAGCTTCTCGTGGTGGCAAACCTGGTGGTTCATCTCGACGCCTCAGATCACGCTCTCGCCATTCGTCAGACAAGGAAAATGCACAAGACGATGGCAGAGGCAACGATAGCAATGAGAGCGAAGATGAGGATGAGGGGGAGGGTGTGAGCAGGTTTATTCCTCTCGCGGATAATACCTTTGACGAAGCAACCACCGGAGGCCCAGCCAACGCCGTTCCTACTGAGGAGCTGAAGCAAGCGAGCAGCAAATTCAAAGAAGTAGACAAGTGGGAGTTGGAATTTGAGGAGGTGGCGGAGGCGTCCTCGCCCCAGGATGGACGATGATGTGCTTGGTATGTCTTGTTTTGTTACGCATGTTAGCCCTTTTATTGCGCTGTCTCGGTTGCAGCATTATGCCATGTCTTTGCAGTGTCTTTGTAACTATTATACGCTTTTCACACATTCAAAGTGTTTGATGAAGGCATAGTTGAAGGGAGGGGGCGTAGGTCTGGGTTGGTCGGGTTGGATTTGTACTTCTCAATGTTGATATCCATGGTTTCGTATCTTGTTGCTTCCTCCCCATCTCTTTTCTATGAGAGTCATTGAAGAGCTTTTGCCACGCTCCAGCCTATTATATTTCAAAAATGAACAGTTTACAAAAATATCCTAATCTTCGTACCTAATCCCTCCTAAACGCCTTTTCATGATTACGCCCTTCTAAATAGACAAATATCTTCCGTGATCTTTTACTTTCGCTTCGTATTTACCCAATTAATGCTGCGCTGCTAGTGATACCGCTTCTATCTTATGTTCGACAACTTCCAGGAATGGATCCAGAGCATTGGGATCTCGTAAAGCGATGGTGATATCATCGGGCAACCTTCCTGATCTCCACAGAGCCTGTAGCACATTAGCCAAAAAATCGCCTGCAAAAAAAGCCTTCCAAGTGTTTGGTTGCCTAGCGCACACTCACATTCTTGACGTCGGCAAACTTGGACTCTTTTGCAGTGTACTCGCGCAACACTTCGTCTGTCTCGAAATCCACATAGATCCTCGTGTCTCGCAACCGCACCAAGACGTTGTCCAGACGCATAAACAGGCGGCACAGCAGCAACATGCGCTTGTCGTGAACTCTCAGCTTAGCGCTGTACAGCGAAATGCCGTTATCATCGAGCTCGCTCTCGTACAAAACGACCTCGTCGAAGAAGAGAATCGGATCACGCCGTTTCAGCAGCTCAATGGGAATCTGCTTCTCCGTAGGCGCAAAGGCGGCAGTGCCGTCGACAGTGCCAGCATATGTCGTGGAGTAACTCCAGTCATAGGGCTCAACGACCTCCTTGATGTTCTGAGTCGTCTCCTCGCGCGTGCTCTCCCAGTCGCGGGCGTAGGCGACGCGCAGCATGTGCTTATCAGTCTTGTCGACGGCGTCGAGGGCGTCGGTGGTGTTGAAGTTTAGGGTCCAGTTGGAGGGCGTGTGAGTGATAGAGACGAGGTTGTCGCCAAAGATCATCTCGGGCACGGGGATGCCGAGCTTCGCCTCGAGGGCGTCAATGGCGGCGGATTTGGAGATGGGGAGCTTGCGGGTCGAGATGCGGAAGTTGTTCTGCGTGTGCGAGGTTGTTGCCGCGGCGAGGGCGTCGGGGCTGGGATAAGGCTCGTTGGGAGATGTTACGTGGTTCATTGTGGGCGGCGGTGGTGGTGGAAGCATTGTCGAGAGTTGTTGGAGAGGGTGGATGAAGTTGGAGGATTGGAGGTCGGGATGCCAAAGTTGAGAAGAGCTATGGTGGGGTTTTGGGGAATGGGATAGCGGGGTGGTTGAAAAGCCATAGGATGATGGATATTCACGACTAGGCTGTTGCGCAGTTACACGTTACAACATCAATGCCATACGGACTTTTTTTTTCTCTTATATTCAAATTAAATTTTATCAACCTCCAGCTTGCAGTAATTTGAACTCTCAATGAAGATTAGTTGGCGGTGATGCGATTTGCAATACAGATGCATAACAAACCTTGTCTTGCTTGTAAGTCAATCATCTGTATTAGTAGTGTCATTCCACCTTTTCTGCAGCCCAATCGTGATCAATTCTCTTTAAATGCCAATTCTTCAAGGAGATTAATCCGATTTTTAAGCCAAAGCAATTTTATTTGTAAGTGAAAGAGAAAAATCAAGTACAATAAAGGCCCGTTGAGTTTTACAAGCTAAGAGAGCATTCACAGTTGCAATACACCAATCCCTACGGTTCTAAGTGCATGTCGATCCTTTTGAGTTAAGTATGCCGGTACGGCAAAAAGTTTATTAATAGCAGAGACCAAAAACGTTAATTCTGCCTGGGCATTTTACCACTCTATCAAGTTTTAATCCGATTTTATACTGTCTCAAACCCAACCAAAAGATTTGGGGCGCTACTCAGGTACATGTAGGGTAGATTTAGTACCTACTAAGGTAGGTAAGGAAACGCAGATGAAGCGAAGGAGAAGGGCACTGCTCAATGAGAAAGGGTGGCATGCATCTTTTATAGACAACTGAAAATGAGGCTCGTATCTATAATGGGGATTCCTTGCATGTAGTGAGTATACTTGATTGCGATTGAGATATCAATCTTGTACAGAGCAGAGGTTAAAACAGCATTCCTAGCTCTAGTGTTTATATGTCGCATAATATCGTTACCTGCGATTTGCACTCCTTTTATAAACTGATACTCTCAATGCACGTCAATTTTACTCAAATTCTCACTTGTTATATGAACATGTCGTTGGCTACTACTAATCTCTGCAAGGGAGTTAAATTGTCGCTGAGTTGATCCCTGCCATTGGCCGGAGCCCCTAAGACCCCCTAAGACGATTTGGTCCGCCCCAGCACAGGATTGCGGCTTAGTCATACCAATATTGGCCCGCTGTTGCCCCGACAACATTGGACTGCAAAAGACAACATGATTTACCCCCGTCGCTGCCACAGCCGCACTCCGGCAAACTCTCCTCACTTATACCTGCAAAATCCAGCGACCACCACATCTGCCCAACTGCCATCTCCAAGTCTCCAAGGCAGTCAAGCAACATGACTACACGCACGCTTGAGTCGCGCTTGGAGCGCATCTCTATTCAAGACGAAAACGACGTCGGTGAAGCCACCAAGATCTACTCAAAGACCAAGGTATGTCCAGCGCCTCTGCAAGCCCGATTATCGTTAGAGGAGATATTAACCTGGATCTAGTTAACAACGACGTCAACCACCACCAGGGCAAACCATTTCAAGGTAGCTCTTCAGTCTCAAAGCAACAACGTCAACGCAGTTGCGTCCGTCACCCTCCCTTCACAAGCGGCCCAGAGAAAACCGCCTCCACCCATCAATCCTGCTTCACCGCCCCCAGCAAGAAGGCCTCTGCCCGCTCCCACAGCCCGAGTCAAAGAGGAGAAAGAAAAGGAAAGGGAGAGAGTAAGAGAAAAGGAGAAGGAAAGGGAAAAAGAAAAGGAGGTTGAGAAAGATGTCGATGAGACCAAATCAGCTCTGACGGAGCAGCCAAGCGTACCCAAACAGTTCCATCTGGGCATGTTTGAGATTGGACGGCCTCTGGGAAAGGGCAAGTTTGGTCGCGTTTACCTTGCCAGGGAGCGGACAAGCGGCTTCATCTGTGCTTTGAAGGTGCTTCACAAGAGCGAGCTTCAGGCCGGGGGAGGTGTGGAGAAGCAGGTTCGGCGTGAAATCGAGATCCAGAGCAACCTACGGCATCCGAACATTCTGCAGCTTTACGGCCATTTCCACGATAGCAAGAGAGTCTTTTTGATCCTCGAGTATGCTGGAAAGGGCGAGCTGTATAAGCACTTGCGAAAGGAGACCAAGTTCCCCGAATGGAAGGCGGCACAGTATGTTGCTCAGATGGCTTCTGCGCTGCAGTATCTTCACAGAAAGCATGTTATTCACCGTGATATCAAGCCTGAGAATATTCTCGTTGGTATTCACGGTGAAATCAAGATTTCCGACTTTGGCTGGAGTGTACACGCCCCCAACAACAGACGGAAAACGCTGTGCGGCACGCTTGATTATCTTCCCCCGGAAATGATCAAGCCCGGCTCTTCGGACAACTACTACAACGAAAAGGTTGACCTCTGGAGCTTGGGTGTGTTGACGTACGAGTTCCTCGTTGGTGAGGCTCCTTTCGAAGATACTCCTGTTATGACGCAGCGAAGGATCGCCCGTGCAGACATGCAAATCCCCAAGTTCGTCAGCTCAGAGGCTGCTGATCTCATCAAGAGAGTGAGTACTTGGATCCCCCCAAGATAATGAAATGATTGGCCAGCTAACAAGCAATGAACAGCTTTTGGTTCTTGACCCCGAGAAGCGTATTCCTCTCGAAGATGTACAGAGCCACCCTTGGATCATCAAGCATTGCGTCAAGGGTGAACGAGCTACCAATCGCGAGAAGAGTTCCTGATTTGCTTCCACATGATACATGGTACATGCAAGCAAGCAATTTGTTTCCCTCTTTTTCTAGTCTGATGACTTGTTTGGCCGCTGGAGTTGGGTGTGTAAGATTTGAGCTGAGATTTGCCTTGCATAAGGAGGAGTTTACGGAGTTTTTCTTCTTTTTGCCTTTCCTTTCGGGGTGTTCACATGGGAGCAGCAGAGCGTTTAAGCCAGATATTTGTTCTTTTGGGGTATCTTTTAATGACGTTGAAAGTTAAAAGCTAAGTGTCATGCGAGGAGATGCGCTGGGGCTAGACGTTATCGTACATCATAGGGTCTATATTTTACAAGGCATTCAAATTTCACCTATACACCTCATCAAAGGGTCTGGTGTCTGAGAAGCACGAGTCCCAGACTTCGTTGACCACTTTTGTCGCTTGCACGTCATCTTTACATCTCGGTCGAGCCATGACTGATCGAATAGCTCTAGAACGAACGCAGTTCTGGAATTGCTGGGTCAGAGCCCAGTTGCCTCGGGTGAAGAATTCTCTGCTCCAGCGACATTCTCCGCTTAGCATCGATGCACGAATCTATTGTTCGACAAGTGTCAGTCTCGAGGATCAGTTTGGCGATTGTTCAATTCCGCTTGAGGCATTTCAGGTAGGCACAAAAGTACTAACCTCTGTGCACGCAGCATGCTTCAAGTCTTTATCGCCCATCCAGTCCACCTGCCACCTGAGATGGTCCCACGCATGTACCATCTCGTGTGCCAGCGTATCTTCCAGGTGTTTACGGTCGCGGATCTCGTTTGCGCAAATCAAGATGCCGTGATTGGGGCTGAAGCCTCCCGACTGCCGATGTACCTGGCCATCCTCTTCCAGCCGCGCAGGGCACCGACGGCACAACACGTTTGAAGCATCCAGCTTGCCATTGAGGTCTTGGATCTTGCCTGACAGGAAGCGGACGGCGGGTGAATATGTAAAGAGCCAGTCGCGGTACTCGTCGCAGCGCTTGCAATCACGTTCCTCGTGGACCTTGTATCGCCATTCGCGGTAGTGGAAGAGGCCCTCGGGAGTCATCTGGCCTGACAGGATTCGGAAGTAGTTCATCCACCATTTCATCTGCGGGTCGAAGCCGGTTCGAGCTGGATCATTGACGACTTCCTTTGCGGGTTTCGGCGAAGCAGAGCCAGCCGGAGCTGGGGGGGTCGGCGATGCGCCGGATGCCATGGCTGTAGGGTGTGTATGTAAAATTGGAAAGGAGAAGGATGCAAGGGGTGCTTTAGAACAGTTTCTCCTTTTTGAAAATGCCAAGTGGAATGGTAGGGTGAGACAATGGAAGGGAATCTCATGCCACTGGAAGATTGGATGAGGTGATGAAGTTGCCTCACCTAATACATGTTGTCCAGAATTCTGCCGCAAAGCTCAGGGCGGTGAGGGCGCCTTTTTTCAGGCGGGTTGCGGTTCCGGCTTATCTTATCGCAGGTACATGCCTGTCCTTGTCAGAAGCTGGCCATTAAGAAGAAAGAAACTCCAAATAGCCGACTTTGGATGAGCAAGGAGGGGCGATCTCGGACTTGCAGCGACAGGCCCCTTGAAAGCGATTTTCATCTCAACAAGGCGATCAAGTCCAATGAACTAAGCCGACATATTTCGATTGCGCCAATTAGCTTCCTCAGGCAGAGCACAGGTCGCGACAGGGGAAGTTGGCGAAAATGTCTGAAGATATTACTCAGAGTAAGCCCAGCCAGCCTATACTATGACGAGCCGTCATGTCTCATTTACTTTAATAGCGGTGGGCGTCTAGGACGCCCTTCCGTGCTTTGGCTCATTGCATTTCATGCTGTTTCTTGGTTTTATTTATTTCTAGCCGAATTTATTGTATTGTTTTCCTATTCCAACGCATTGTTTGCTATGTGCTTTCTTCAATGTTTTAAGACTTGGTATCTTGTCTAACTTTTTTGCGTTCGGCCAATTCAAGACGACGGCGTGGCGGCCATGAGGAAGCCGAAGCCGCTGACTGTTGTCATTAAGCTGGGTGAGTACAATGTCAATGTAGACGATGACGACCTGTTTCTAACGGCCAGCGAAACAAAGGGACGAGCTCAATTGTCGACGAAAACACCCATGAACCTCTACTTCCTATCCTGACGTTGATTGTGGACACGGCGGTCAAGCTACGCAAGGATGGCCATCGAGTGGTCATTGTCTCTTCGGGAGCCATTGGCGTCGGTCTTCGCCGTATGGACGTAGCGAAGCGTCCCAAGCATTTGGCCCAGTTGCAGGCAAGGCTGCTCTCATAGAACCCAGTGGAGTGAACCAAGCAATCTAACATACTCATAGGCATTAGCAGCAATCGGCCAGTGCCGGCTCATTAGTCTCTGGGATAGCTTGTTTGCTCATCTGACACAACCGGTAGCTCAGATTCTACTTACACGAAATGACATTGCTGATGTATGATGCTACTATCCACGACAATCTAACTAACAAGGACACTACCAAGCTGACCGCGAACGATGCTTTTTCTCTTTAGCGAACGCGATACCTCAATGCTCAAAGCACAGTCAACGAACTATTAGACATGGGAGTCATCCCCATTGTGAATGAAAACGATACCCTGGCAGTTTCCGAAATCAAATTTGGCGATAATGATACCCTTTCAGCGATTACTGCGGCTATGATACACGCAGATCTCCTATTTCTCATGACGGATGTCGACTGTTTATACGATAAGAATCCGAGAAGCAACCCCGATGCTAAGCCCATCGAAATTGTCGAGGATATTTCGGCCCTCGAAGCGGATGGTATGTTGTGCTTCCAGAGTGCATCAAACGTGGAGCTAGCTAACGGTAAACAAAAAATAGTCTCAAGTGCCGGATCAGCGTTGGGTACTGGTGGTATGAGCACCAAGATCATTGCCGCGCGACTCGGGACGTCGGCGGGCGTGACAACAATCATCACTAGGTCGTCCAATCCAGGCAACATCCTGAGCATCGTGCGCTACCTCCATCAGTCCCAGCCTTCAAGATCAGCATCGTCCGTGTCGCTCAATCTCATTGCTGCATCAGAGAATCTAGAGACAAGACCAGCTCCGCCATTGCATACAAGATTTCTGCCTTCAACCGACCCAATTCGAGACCGCCACTTTTGGCTCCTCCACACCCCCAACCCCCATGGCACGCTGTACATCGACGAAGGAGCCCACAAAGCGCTCCTTAACAAGGCTGGCCTGCTCCCCGTTGGTGTGGTTGATGTCGAGGGCAATTTTGCCCAGCAAGAAGTCGTCCGGCTCATCGTAGTCAACCGACGATCAGTTCCCGGTCTAGATGGAAAGCGCTGGGAGGGCTTGGGACTGGAAGTTGGACGAGCTCTGGTCAACTATGCCGCCCCTGAAATCTCGAGGATCTTGGGCCATCAGAGTACAGAGATTCGAGGCATACTGGGCTATGCGGATAGTGAATATGTTGCGCACCGTTCACACATTGGCATTTTTAGGGCGGAGAGCAGGTCTGCGACTCCGACGAGAGAGTTGCGCTAGTTGAGTAGAGGGAGATTACTTTTTCGAATAGATTGGTTTATGACTGTATAGAGGATAAAAAGGGATCAAATGGAATTTAGCCTCTTGAAATTTAGGAATGAGTGGTGGATAAAATCAATGGCAAACCGGCATACATTAACACCTATATCGACTTGCCTTCAATAGTTACATTTGCCAGGCCGAGTCACCTTTTCCCATATAGCAGCGCCTCTTGAAGTGAAAGAATAGACGAAGCATCTGATGAGGTGATGAAATTAAGCAAAACTCACCTTCTATTTCACCATCCAGGTTAGTAGTATTTTATTCTATTTCCCCCTGCTCCTACCTTAGGTATACTACTCGTATACGTGTATAATGGAATTCATGTGAAGTTGCAAGGACAAGTTTAGTTTCAACCCGCTCTGGACTAGCGCCCTCTGTAGATAGCGTGCAGGGTCTGTCTGGCCAAGTCCAGTCCAGTGGAGGGGCAGCCGAAGCCGGGCTGTAAAGAGTCAATCGGCCACTGCAAGGTTAGATCCCTGGTGGGCCACCGGCCGTTGGAGTCACACGCGGGCACACACAACTTTTGTCTAGATGTTTCTCCCCTCTATCTCTAACCCCACCATTCCGTGCCAGAGGAAACCAGTGCGGCCTGAGTTTTTGTGACTCGCGCCCTCTTTCCTCCAACGTTAAAACTCTGGTGGATGAAGCCAATTCGACATTTGCTCTCCTCCCCAGCAACTCTCGCCCGCCTCAGATCCGGACTCGCCCCGCGCCAGACTCGGCCTGCTGCAGTGCTGTGCCGTCGCACCTTGTCAGCCTCATCAAAGCTTTGCGCATTCCAGCCTCTCAAGCCGCAAAACCCCAAAGCCGGCGCCATGTCTTTGTCCGCCACGACTCTCAAGGGCCAGCCCCTGGACAAGGTTGTCCTCGACGCCATGCTGCGGCGACGCATGTTCTACACGCCTTCCTTCGAGATCTACGGCGGCGTGGGTGGTCTCTACGACTACGGCCCGCCAGGCTGTGCCCTCCAGGCCAACATCGTCGACCTGTGGCGGAAACACTTTGTCCTGGAGGAGGACATGCTCGAGGTGGACTGCACTGCCTTGACTCCCCACGATGTTCTCAAGACCAGTGGCCACGTCGACAAGTTTGCCGACTGGATGTGCAAGGACCCCAAGAACGGCGAAATCCTACGAGCCGACCACTTCGTCGAGGCCATCCTCGAGGCCCGGCTCAAGGGCGACAAGGAGGCCCGTGGCCAAAAGGTGGAGGAGAAGGAGGTCGACCCTAAGAAGAAGAAGAAGGCCAAGTCCGCAGCCGCCGTCAAGCTTGACGATGCTGTTGTCCAGGAGTACGAGGAGGTGCTCGCCAAGATCGACAACTATGGCGGTCCTGAGCTCGGCGAGCTTATCAAGAAGTACGACCTCAAGAACCCTGAGACTGGCGTGCTTCCGTCAGAGCCCGTGGCCTTCAACCTCATGTTCCAGACATCCATCGGACCGAGCAGCAACCTGCCCGGATACCTGCGTCCCGAGACTGCTCAGGGCCAGTTCCTCAACTTTGCCAAGCTTCTCGAATTCAACCAGTCCCAGATGCCCTTTGCCTCGGCCTCCATCGGAAAGTCATACCGAAACGAGATTTCTCCCCGTGCCGGTCTCTTGCGTGTGCGAGAGTTCCTGATGGCTGAGATTGAGCACTTTGTCGACCCCGAGGGTGGCAAGAAGCACAGCCGCTTCCACGAGGTTGAGGACGTTGAGCTGGTTCTGCTGGACCGCCACGTTCAGCTCTCTGGAAAGACGGAGACGAAGAAGATGACCATTGGCCAGGCCGTCAAGGACGGTGTTGTTGATAACGAGACCCTTGGATACTTCCTTGCCCGTATCCATCTCTTCATGAAGAGAATTGGTGTCGACCTGTCCAAGATGCGTTTCCGACAGCACATGGCCAACGAAATGGCCCACTACGCCTGCGACTGCTGGGACGCTGAGCTGTTGACCTCGACTGGCTGGGTTGAGTGCGTTGGCTGTGCCGACCGCAGTGCCTATGACTTGACCGTCCATGCCAAGAAGACTGGCGCTCCTTTGGTCGTTCGTGAGCGACTCGACGAGCCCAAGGTCATTGAGGAGTGGCAAATCGATATTCAAAAGAAGAAGTTTGGTCCCCTATTCAAGAAGGATGCCAAGACAGTGGAGACTGCCTTGGAGGCTACCTCGCAAGAGCAGCGTGAGAAGCTGGCCAAGGAGCTGACTGAGACTGGAAAGATTGTCCTGGACGTGGAGGGCATTGCCGATGGCAAGGCCACTATCGACAAGGACTCAGTCGCTATTGAGTTCCGCAAGAGAGTGGAGAACACTCGCGAGTTCACGCCCAATGTCATTGAGCCGTCATTTGGTATTGGCCGTATTCTCTACTCGCTCATTGAGCACAACTACTGGACCCGTGCCAGCGATGGTGGTGATGAGTCTCGTGGTGTATGTGTTTCCCCTCCCTTGTTCTTTTCCACATGGAATGATTTTTTGAAACATTTACTAACGATGAATTTCGTTTTACAGGTCCTGTCTTTCCCACCTACCGTGGCCCCGACCAAGGTCCTTCTGGTGCCCCTGTCATCCAACCCGCAATTCAAGCCCGCGGTCAAGGCTCTTTCTCAGAAGCTGCGAAGCCTCGGCGTCTCCAGCCGTGTAGATGACTCATCTGCCAGTATCGGTAAGCGATACAGCCGTAATGATGAGCTCGGTACGCCGCTTGGCATCACCGTCGATTTCCAGACCCTTCAGGACGGCTCCATTACATTGAGAGATCGTGACTCGACCACTCAGGTCCGAGCTGAGGAGAGCAAGATTCTGGATGCCATTAAATCACTTGTAGATGGCAGCAAGAACTGGGAGACTGTTGCGGGCGAGCTCCCCAAGTTCGAGGGGCAGGAGGTTGAGGTCGTCGCCCGATAGATGGTTAGAGGTTAGATCTAGATGATGGAAAGAAGATGATTTGATGAAAACAAAAAAGTTGAATCTCATATAGTTGAGAGTCGGTTATATGTCACGTCTGCTTTGTACAGGAAGATTTGTTAGTTGCTTCAGATAGAAAGATCTATTAAAGAAGAATCTACAGATGTACAAGCATTACCATGCTACGATGTTGCAAGGTATGAACTGTTGTTACCCTGTAAGCTGAACAGAATTGCAGATGCCAATGCCTGGCAACTGGTGATGACTACGCATACAGGCGGCGGAGACTAGGTTCTGTGGTAGATAGATCGGCATATGTAGCTAACAACAGGAGCAAACCTGCATACTCGTACATATCAAAACGGTTGCCGACGCATCCCTGTCGCTCCATCTTCATTGGGCGGGGGCCTGCTCGCGCGCGCGTACTCGTACTTAGTACTACCATGTGTTGGTGATTTATTACACTTTGGTTATTCTTTTCTCTATCATGGCAGCCTCGTGAGCCTACTCGCACATGCTGTAAACTCCGAGGTTTGTGTAATCCCACATCGTGTACATGTAGTATTGCTCTTCGGGTTTAAGCATGGAGGTGGATGTCACGAACCAATGGATGCGAAATGGGTTGTCCCTAGCGGGTTAGTTTTGTGTTTTATCGGCCGCATTGATTAGGAAAAGGGTTGGATATCATAGCAGGCTGACTCGTTGGACTGCTTCCTCCCCCCCCCCTTTTCCCCCCTTTGGTTAGGTAGCCTCCCCTGCCTGGTCTATTTTGACGTGATCGTCAGTTGAATTTAACAAAGAGAAGCAGAAATCAAAGACCGACAAGAAGGGAGAGAAGCCTAGCTCACGTCACAGTGGGAAGCTCCCGCTGCTCCCCATGCTAGCCTTGCTTGCCTATGACGATATATGTATTTGTCAACCTTGAAACTTTATTTACCCGGCTTCAAGGAGGTTCTTGTTTGCAGCATGAGCGGGACGCGTGAAACATTTGATGAGAAGGATGAGCGTGCTCCGACTGACAACTGACAGGGCAGGGTTCAGTATTGGCACTTGTTCCCAAGATAGTCTCATGCTGCTAGTATATGGAGATTATTGACCTCCCCTCATGACCCGGAAATGCGTGCACTGGTCCGTCGGCAGAATGCAAGGCCCAGCTGACAATACAAACGAAGAAAAGTAAAAGAAAAAAAATCTCCGCGTTGATGACGGAGGATCCTAGGTTCCTTTCGGGATTGAGACTGTGAAACACAGGGTGGATTTGGAGATACCACGAGACACGCATCCGCGTTGGAGTGTTTGCTTGTGATGGCACCTGCGACGCTCCTGAAGCTCAAGCCGAAAAGCGGAGAAGGACTATCACTGTACATTTCTGCCACTCGATAGGACGAGATGTCTTGATCTGAAGCATCGAATGGGCGCTGATCAACGAATGGGTTGGCTATGAACCCCCGAAAGGTCTGAGTGGCGAGACTACCTGGTGGGCGACGTGCCGAGGAAACAAACGCGGCTGGACGGGCGGCGGCGTGCAAGTGCATGTCAATGTCTGCAGTTAAAGGATTAGGATTATTCCCGTCAACGGGCTCCGTCAATTGGATCATCAAGTGCCCTTTGTCATGTTGGATTCAAACCACGGACGATGCTGCAAATTGCTGATCCTTGGTGTCCCGCTTCCGACTGTCTGTCTGTAACAATGATTTCAGGTGAGCGGACAACAGTGCCGTGTTAGGGCCTAGTGCTTGCAGCCACCACTAGCATTCCCCCCTGGAGGACCCCCCCGACTCCCCTAACGGGGCAGCATCCAGCATCCTCAGGGGTATTGCCTGGTGGCGGCAAATCCACCTGCAGCGCTGCTTGGCAACCCCACCTCCCACCTGCCCACCTCGACTTTCTGGCCAGTAACGGGTGTGGCCTTTCCGCGCTGGCCCTGTCGCGACCTTCCCCACACTGGCTGTTTCTCCATTGTCCTCACCACGAGGTACCGGCGCCCGAGTCGAGGCGTCGAGGCGATACTTTGAGGGCCATAGTGTGCGTTATGGAGAGGCGTGTACCCGTCGCATCTCAAAGGATGCTGGGAGGTACCGCGCAAGAAGAGCCTTGACCCCTATGCATAATGCAATCAATGGATCCAATGGTTCAACCTTAGTCCTGTGCTCAAGCTACCAGACTAGCAGAGAGTAGCAGCAGCCGCAGCCGCCGCCGCGGCACTGCCTGTGCAGCCCGTTTACGACGGGCTGGGGAGCCACAGGCCACCTCCAGCGCGCTGGATGTACTGTAGGTCAGGTACTTGTAGCAACTAGGCGGTAGTACACATCGACCTAGGTACTGGATG